GGCTGGGGATTCGAACCCGCCACCTTAGGTGTACATGGCTAGCGCCTTAGCCGGTTGAGCTATAGGTGCCGAGCCTTCAGTTGTTGAATGAATAAATGAACATATTATCTAGAGCCTCCACACTAAGCTGCCTCTCTCTCCCTACTCTAGCTCCCATCCCAAATATCAAAGTATTTGAGCGTGAGGGAGTACAGCTGAATCTGTCTTTCAATCGACCCCCTGGAACCCCTGCTTTGCTCTTAATCACTGTCACTGCCACCAACTCCTCAGGGGGTGATGTCACCCACTTCATCTGCCAGGCTGCTGTGCCTAAGGTTTGTAAAGATCAGGGTTTAGAGGTGGCCTTGGCACTCTAGGAGAAAAGGCCACTGAATAGAAGAGGTGGGTGGGTGACAGAATGAGATGAAAGGGAGTAAGACAAGTACTGGAGAGTTGTGGGAAAGAGGGTTTGAAACCACTGGGTGTGGAAGGGTTGTCTGAGACCAGCCAGCTGCCTTACCGTACTCTGCCCAAACCGCCTGTGTTCAGAGTTTGCAGCTGCAGCTACAGGCCCCCAGTGGGGACACAGTTCCAGCTCGGGGTGGCCTTCCCATTACCCAGCTCTTGAGAATCCTCAATCCTAACAAGGTGAGCTTCAGGAGCAACCCCCCACATAACTCCACTCCTCCTGCACACCCCTCCCACCCTCCCCCAAGAATAAGACCCAGGGACAGAAGACGCCAGAGTGTTAATCCTAGTCTCCACTCTCCTATTCCTAGGCCCCCTTGCGGCTAAAGCTGCGCCTCACCTACAACCACTTTGGCCAGCCGGTGCAGGAGATCTTTGAGGTGAACAACTTGCCTGTGGAAACATGGCAGTAACTGTCTCCACTCGCCTAAAATCCTCCTGTGGTCCAAACCCCAGTGGGTGCTGGATACCTTACACCTGAGTGCCACCAGCAGGTGGTGCTCTGGCCTTGCATTTGCCACTGCAAAAACTGGGAGCCTGCTCCCCTCTCCCTCAAATACTGAAAGCTCAATAAAGCCTGAGGGGGAAGGAAAGCCATATTTGGATATATGTGAAGTAGAAAGCCCCTTACACAGGAAGTATGATTCTTCCCCTCAGCCTTGAGAACCTGTCTCAACAAGGAAGGTTTTCTTTCTACCCCTCCACGTTGAGGAGCAAATTTGCCCTTCAACTTCTACAGAAGGCACTCTATCCTCTGCAGCAGAAGTGGGCAGGGTTGCAAAATCTAATCAAAATTTCTAGATTTCTAACAGGGATTCCCAACCATTTCCCCAACATGCTGCTATTCCCCACACCCCAAGGCAGGGAAATCCCTGCTGCCTCTCTTCATCTCTAACTCAGCTGTAAGGCGGTTTAGGAGCCGCTGGCAGAATCAATGGCATCGACCAAGGGAGGGGGGTGGCAAGGGATTTTCCTGTGCTTAACTACTGATCACGGCTAAGTGGAAATCCTATAAACACGAGCGGAAATCAATGGAGGCTGCTTAGCGGCCAGGGGAGAGGGGCGGCCCACAGATTGCATCTGACGGATGAGGGAGAAAAAGCAACCAGGGAGGGCGCAAGGAAGGATAGTGTAGAGTGAAGAAACAGGCAGAGCTGGAGAGAGCAGTCACTGTCAGAAGGGAAGCCAAGGGGACAGTCACAGTGAGGCCAGGAGGGGACCCCATTAGATCCAGAGTTCCCTTCCTCTTCTAGGAGGTGACACCCCTAGCCCAGGCTGCTGTCAGGATGTTTAGTCCCCTGTGGCCTCTCTCTGGAGCTGTTCACTTCTAGCAGGCGCTGATAGTGTTGAGGGTGGAAGCGCTGTAGGTACACTATCAGCTTGGCAGGTACCGTCTCCTGTACTGGCACACCTACAAGCAAAAGGACAATAAGGACAAAAGCAGACAGAGCTGCTAACACTTTGACTCTGTTCCCTGCCCACTCGGCCAGGACCCCAAAGTTGTTTCCAAGGCAGCACTGGATTCTGAATGCCATCCACCCAGCTTCTATAACCCACCAGCCCACTCCCTTACTGGCCTGTGGAAGTGAGACTGAGTAGGCAGGAGCAAAGCTAGGAAGCCATACAAGAGCCTCTCTTCCAGCAAGGAGAAATAACAAAGGGGTATCCAGGAGCCATAATGACAGAAGTACTCAATATTGACTCATTTCAGTTATTCCTCCTGTCCCCCAATCAAGATTAAAGCCCATCTAGGCAGGCCAGAACTCATTAGCTTGGTAATAAAGCACACACAGAGATGTACACACTTAGAAATGAAAGACTATAGGAAGAAGAGATCAGGAGAAGCTACACCCATGGGGTGGGTCTCACAGAGAAGTCTAACTTCTCTACTACAGAACTGCCTACTGCCAATATCTGTTCTTAGCGCTGGCTTAAAGCAGTTACTCAATGTATGTTTCCTGAGGAGACGCTAACAACATTCCAGGGCAGTAAGGGCCTATGGGATAGACAACTCCACATTTGTGTGAATTAACTGATTACAAGGGAACTATGCCTGGGAACAGAAAAACAAATCTGCTAAAGCTTATCCCACTGTCTTCACATAAATGCAATGTTCTTGTCTTTTCTAAATTGAAAAAGGAGCTAGGTAACTGTAAAAACAAAGTTTGGGGGAAGGGTCAAGGCAGAGGACTGACAAATGGAACTGAAGGAGACCTGGCTAGTAGTATGAAAACTAAATGAGACAGCTTGACTAAGATAAAGACACAGGTAGAGATTAAGTTCAGATTAGACAGCTTCTGTAAGAGGGAGCCAGTTTCATAAAGCTCCAAGCAAACTGGGTCCTCTAGGAAATTCCTAAAACAATTCCTGTTACAAAGAATACAGAGACCCTCCCCCACTATATGGTCTAGTGGGTGCCTCAAGAAGTGGAAAGTGGGGAGCAGAGGAAAGAACAAAAGGGCCTGTCTCCCTCACCAAGCATGTTGCTCAGCCTGTGGATCTTCTCTAGGGCAGCTGGTACTTCAGCCTCCTCATGCACCAGGACCTCTACCTCACCCACAGCGTAGCCAAAGTCGGCTGTATCCAGGTCCACCCTGAGGGGTGATTTCTCTTCATCACCTCCTAAGAGTTCCAGCTTCCAGGCACTCCGATTAGTCACAAAACTAGCTACTTCCTGCAGCCCCAATGGGCTCAACACAGCAGCCACACCCCCAGCCCCCAGGCCTTCAGTCTCCAGCACCTCACACAGCTGGCTCACAATTGCAGGTTCAGCTGTGAGTTCCTTATACTGAGTGTGGGGTCCTGAGACAACTGCTGCTCCAGGACATTTCAGCTCCCATCCACTATCCTGTCGTTGTCGCAGCCAGTAGTCAGCTCGCATGAGTTTCAGCTCAGGGGTGTCATAGTAGGTGTCCCGGAAAGTGACCCTGTGCTCCAGGGTGCCCCCCAACTCCTGTAGTCGCTCTTCTGTGCCAGGCCCTGGAATGAATTTTAGTTCCACTTCAATCAAGCCCTGGGCCATGCTACCTGCAATTGGTTGATCAACAAACATTCGCTGAGCTCTCAAGTGTTCAAGGTCTGGTGCTTACCCTGCGTGGGAGTAGAGGGGGGCCGCTCAGCGCAGACCCCGTCCCTGGAAGCATTTATGAGGCACACACACTGTCGCAGAACTCTGCTAGGGCTATAGCCCTTTCACTCTGTCTCGGTGATAAAATGCCCCGTCTGTGATGTTTTTTAAGCCTCTGACAGTGACAGGTCTCCAGTAAAATCGCTTCCACTGCTCATAATGTCCTCAATCCAAAGGGTTCCCTAGAAAAAAATTAGTGTAGACCCTCCCTACACTTTGCTACCACAGCAGGGCAGCGGCTCACTGCCCAGGGTGACCCACCCTTCTTCGTCACGACAGCCGCCCGCAGAGGATCGGGTCTCACCTCAAAGCCCAAAGGTCTCCCTCTCGCGGGACCTGGAGATAGGGGAAGGGAGCCCACGCACACCCGCGAGGAATGCCGGGAACAGTTCCTGACCCCCGGACCAGGGCCTGGTTCCCTGACTCTCCGCGCCCAGCTGGTCCCAGCACCAGCGGCCATATTAGGCCCGTTGTGACGGTGCCAAACGCGGGCCAGAGCCCGAGAGCCTTGCTAGGTTATGAGGGGCCGCCACCCACGCGTTGAGCAGGGGAGCTAGGCCGTTCCCTTGCGCTCCGCTCTTCATCTCCGACCCCTCGCGGCTCCCAGGGGTCGGCTGGGTCTCAGGCCTCCAGCTGAACTTGGCACCCTGGGGGTCCGGGTGCATGATGGGAGATGTAGTTCCAGAGGGAGGCTTTGCCTTCTCGCCTCACCCGTCGCTATGGTGACAGGAAAGCTGCAATTGGTACCAGCGGGACACTACCCAAAGCTGAACTGGGGCCGCGGGGCAGTGGAAAAGTCCAATGCAAGGAGCTCAGGCCTAGGCCTGTCACCATACCCTCTCCCAACGTAGGCACATGAACCCGGAATACAGATACCTAATAGATTCTTATGGCGCCCCACTAAGTGCAGCCCAATGGCAATGGCTGAGAGTGGCAGAGTGAGGGAGGAGGATTAAGTTCAGTTTAGTTACCCTAAAGTTTTGATCTAATACATCCAGGCATGATTGTTCAGGATAAGGATGAGTAGGAAACTGTCAGAGAAGGAAATGATATTTTGTATGGGATCGAAAGATGTCTTGAGATTTTAACAGATGGAGATAAGGAAAAGCATGAGCAAAAGGCCCATAAAGTGGAGAGCCCTTGGCCGGTGCTTGAGTGGAAGATGAGGCTAAGAAATGCAGTTGAGGGGCAGCTAAGTTTTGAGTGCCAAACTGAGGAACTTGTCAAAGTTTCCATTGGTCCCTGAGCAGGTTTTGTCAGGAGTAGGAGAAATACTCAAGTTCATTAAAATATAGGAAGACTTAGGGTTGGTGCTTTGGGAGACAAAATAGAGAAGATTCCTTCCCCTTATCCCTGTAAGGACTATGGTTATCTGGAGACTTCAACTATGTTTCTGACCCTCCCTGTGAGGAAGCTTGCTAAAGCTTGTTAATTCCTGGCCTTCTTCCTGTGATAGATGAAAAATGCCAAGTACCACCTGCCCTTTCCCCAGTATGTTTCTGGGAACATGACCAGTAGGAAGCATGGTGGGGAGGACGCTGATCTAAACACATGGCATTTTAAACTTGAGATATCTTGGGTGTACCCCTCCCCTCCCCAGCTTTGGGTAGAGTCCCACTGGTACCAAATTGGCAACAACCAATTTGATGCCAAGCACCACTGGTCAGGGAGGGAAGGAACCCAGCCCCTAACTCCTCACTGGGCTGCTTTTTTCACCAGACTTTGGAGCCAGATGGACTTGAGGTTGACTCCTAGCTTCACTTTCTAGATGCTTGGCCTTGGCACAAGCTACTCCACTTCCCTAAGCCTCTGCTTTTTCATTGGGAAAATGTGGACTGTCTCACAATTACTGGTGAGGATTCAATCAGACTGTCACATAGTAAAAACTCAAGGCATTAGTTTCTTTCTCCCTTTTTTTCTTGTGAACCGCAGTTTTTTGTCCTGTAGCAGCTAGTGTGGGCTCTGGAGCCAGATCATTGAGGTTTGAATCTTGATGCTGTCGCTTTATATTGGCCATTTAACCTTGGGCCACTTACTTGTTTGTGCTTTGAATTCCTCATCTGTAAAATGGCACTGATGGTAGTATCTACTTCACAGGGTTGAGAGGAGTAAATAAGTTCCTACAAGTTACAGTATATGTAAAAGTGCTCGGAACTGCCCCTGTGCACTCAAAGTGTTATTGTTATTAAAATATAGGCGCACTTAGGAGCAGATAAACTGAAAATGGGGAGGAGGAGCCAGAATCTCCCCACCCCCTACCCAACTCAGAAGACTGTGTGACCGCGTGGAGGAGACAGAAGAGACTTCAGAGTAATTGCCATGGAAGAGAAGGTTTTAATACCCAGTTGGAAGGGAGGGGAATAATAAGTCAGGAAGAAAGCAGTGAAAAAAGAGAGATGGGTTTAAGGCGGCTCTGGGAAGCTGGTGGAAGCCAGGACTTGCTCTAGACCTGATGTAAAACAAAACTGCAAAACACATGTATGATTTCAGTAGGCAAGATGAAAAAAAGAAATAATTTAACGGGAACTGTCCTCTTTGCAGGCACCGGCAGAGTTGAGAGATTCTGGGCAGGTTGCCCAGCCTGCCCTGGGATCTCAGTCCCGGCCCTGGGTCCAGCGAGGCTGATGGACAGCGATTGCAGGCCAGAGGGCGGGGGCGGACAGACTACAAGTCCCGGCATGCGCCGCGGCGGGCGGGCCGCTGCACCTGCTCAGTGGGGCCGCCCCGGGCGCCTGGGTATTGATTATTCCATTGTGTGGGACGCCTCGGCTCCAGCCAGTGAATGAGGCGGAGGAGTGAGGGCGAGGAGGAGGAGGGCAAGGAGGAGGAGGAGGAGGTGGAGGCAGGGAGCGAGCGAGTGCCCGGGGTGAATCAATGGAAACCCCCTCACGAAGCCGGGAAAACACTTCAGCCGCAGCCAAATAGCATTGATTATTTTCCTTCACTTCCCTCACCGCCGTGAATTTATTTATTTATTTTTTCCATCTCCGTCCCCGACGCCCCGGAGCGAGCGCTGGAGGGAGGGAGGAGGAGGGGAAAAAAGGAATCAACACATCGGAGAAGTCCCTTCCAAGAGCCGCCCCCTCCCCTCCCCGCCTCGCGCTGCTTGGCGGCCGCGGTTCGACTCCCGTCCCTGCTTCCAGCTGAGGTGTAAGTGCATCGATTTCCGATGCTGCTGGGTTGGTTTTTTTTTTTTTTTTTTTCCTCCTCTCCCTCTCTCTCTTCTTCCCTTCCTTGCCTTTTGGAAGCTTGAGACAGAGGGGAGAGGAGGCGCTCGGAGACTGCAGCTGGAGGAGACGGAGAGGGATGGGAAGGAGCTGGGGGAGGGGAGACGGACAGACGGACCAACAGACAGACAACCCAGGGAGAAGGGGTGTGGGAGATAGAGGGCGTGCGAGTAGGAATGAGGGGAAGAGAGACACGCAGGGGTGGAGGGAGAGATCGGGAAGGGAAAGGCAGGGGTCCGCCGGGCAGATGGAGGGTAACGAAAGCCTAGACGGACCGCGCGGAGCTGTGCGGGGAGCGGGGGTCCCAAAGGGAAGGGGAGGCCTGATGAGTGCGAGAGCTCGGTGCTGTCAGCCTGGAGGGGTCTGGGTCTCGGCGGCCCCCCGCCGGCTGCGGGATGGGGGAAGAACTGCGGCCGGCTGTCTGATGGATGGGCTAGCGCGCTGGGGCGTGGGGTGGGAGGGGACGTGGATATCCTCAGTCTTCAGTCTTCGTTTTTGCCTGAAGTTGAGCTTTTTTTTTTTTTTTGAAAGGTGCGAGCAGGTGAGGGGAGGCCACAGCCCCCATTCAAGGTGAAGCTTGTCAGTCCTGACCCGCATCCGTTCTTGTCTGCCCCTCTCTCTGAGTAACCCTATCATTTCGAGCACTAGCCCACGCTTCTCGCTCTTGCCTGTAGCCCCTCTGGTCTGTGTGTCCCTGCCTCTTGGTTTTACCATCTCTGCATTTGTCTCCCCACCTCATCCATCTCTGGGTCTGTGTGTCACTGTCCCTGCTGTGACCCTTCCTATCTGAGTGATCCTCTCCGTGTGTCCCTGTCACTGTGTCACGCCTTGGCTGCGCGACTGTTCTGCCTGTCTAGGACTCCATACCCTCTCCTTCTGGGTCTGCCTGGGTTTTGCTGGCCTTTTCAGGCTACTTTGGAGTTTGCTGATCAGTCATGATTGTGGTGGTTGTGGTCAGGGGCCTAGAAGAGTAGGGGGATGGAGCAGATACGCCTCCCTCAAAGATTCTGGTGGCCTTTCAGCATGGCCACGACAGCCTCCTCTTCCACCTTCACCAGGAAAGCTTTGGAACTTCCTAGCATTGTTGGCTGTTCCTTTTGCCATGTGCCTGTCTCCCCCATCAGGACCTTACCTCCTGGTCTCCTGTGTATCATCTTCCTTCCTCCCACTTACGTACTGCCATAATTTCCCCCCCTTCTCCCACTATATCATTGTATATTTTTTCATTTCTCCATTTTGTTTCACTCCTTTTTGTCCATCTGTCTCCCATGATCTCTCTTGCTTATTCTCCACCTTTGTTCCTATGATCTGCACTCTTCCTACCTTTTCTCCCTGGTCACTCAGAGTTTCTTTTATCCCTCATCCTCTTACCCAGTGTTTTAACCCCAGCAGCAGACGGTAACAGCAAGGCCCTGAGGGAGGGGGGTATAGTTTGTGAAGGCACATAGACAGGCCAAGAAATCAATTTAACGGGCTTCTAGGGGCTTATAACCCCTTCATCAATCAGCGCCATTATGTCAGTTAACTGTCAACTTTGATTTTACAAAGGGACATTCTCTAGGACTCTAAGCTCCACCCTGCCTTGTTGGCCCCATCCTTTAGTTCATTTTACATATCTGCGGATTTTTCTTCACTTTTTAGTTCATCTTCTTCTTGGGCCCCTGCTATTAATCATATTTGGATTCAGCACCATTCTTTACTAGTGTGGTAGAAGCTGTCTTATGCAAGGGGCCAGGTTCATTCAGCCTAAAGAACAGTAAAGGTGGATAAAGGATCTGGAGAGTTTACCTTGGTTTTAAGCCCATCATTGTTTTTCCAGACCTCAGGAGCTTGGAGGGGGTAAAAGGAGATAGATATGAGCAGAAGATGGAAGATTTGGAGAGTGAACAAAATTACAGAAACGAAGGGGAGGCTGGTGCAATAAACACATGGGGTAGAGAAATGTATGATGGGAGGGACTTGCAAAGGAAGAGAGGAAAATCTATGCGGAATAGGGTGGGCAGGGGAGGAACCAAGGAGTGATTAATGGGAAAGTGGGAGAATGAAATAAAACATGAGTTAGCTATACAGAAGGAAAGAGGAAGAGAAATGATAGACTATTGCTAAGAGGAGGTCAACAGAAATAGTACTATGAAATAAAATACAGTGGTAAAATGGGGGAAGGGTGGAATTGAAAAGATGAGTTGGGGAA